GAATCTCTGCAGCTGGCCCAGTGCATGACAGCCAGTGCTCATGTAATGTTACAGAATGGTGCCTTCTCTGGCTGCAAGTTGAGAGTGACCGGAGGGAGATGAGACTGGAGACAAAAAGACCAGTTAGGAGGATGAGCAATAAACTATCCAAAAAATTATGAAGGCTTCAATGGAATGGCTTTGCGGATAGAGAAAAGAGGATGGAACTGTAAGATCTGAGGATTTGGTGACCCTTAAGGGCCATAACAGAGCCCACAGAGTCTAGGATGTCACCCAAGTTTCTGGCTTGTGTCACAGGATGGAGACTGGTGCATTCAGTAACTTGAAGTGGGTGGGAAGCTGGGAAGCTGGTTGATGTGAGGTACAGGGCAGGGTGGAGAAGCACGGACAACTGATCTGAAGGAGTGAACTGAAGACACCCAGGACAGATATGTTAAGCTGGAAGTCTGCAAGCAGGTGGAAGTATTAGAATTACAGACTTGGGCTCAGGAGATCAAATATGAGCATATTCAGCATGGACGTGGTCACTAGGACCATGGGAGTATATAATGTTGCTCAAGGAGAGAGTAGAATGGGAAGAGGAGAGAGCCAATATCGGAGCCCTGAGGAACAGGTGAGAGTCAGCAAGAGGAAGAGGAACCCAAAAGTCATCTGAGAACAGCAGCTGGAGGAGTGGAAGGGAAATCAGGGAAGTGTGGGATCAAGAGAGTCAAGGGAAGACAAATGTTCAGGAAAAACACAAACTGGTTTTCCTCTGCTCTCACACCCACACATCAGCACAGAAGACTTCTGTGACCAAATGTGAGGAGGGGTTTCCCAAACATCAAGCAGCAAACATCAGCTGGGCGTCCTCTAATTCAATTCAATTCTGATGCTATCTCCAGGTAGATAGCGTCAGCTCCCACAGGGTAGGGGCTCAGTTCCCAAAACTACCCCCCTTTTCAGATACCAGTTGCAAGCCTGGGCCTCCAGAACTTCTGAGCAACTGGTTTCAAGTTGGGGTTCCTACAACTCCCTCTTTGGGTTTGATTAATTTGCTGGAGCAGCTCACAGAACTCAGGGAAACATGTTTACTAGTTTATTAGAAAGGATATTACAAAGGATACAGATGAAGAGATGTGTAGGGTGAAGTATGGGGAAGGGGGTATGGAGCTTTCAAGCCCTCCCTGGGTGCACTACCCTCCAGTAACTTCTGTGTGTTTGGCTGTCATGAAGCTCTCCTAACCCTGTCCTTTTGGGCCTTTTATGGAGACTTTTTTTTTTTTTGAGACAGAGTCTCACTTTGTTGCCCAGGCTAGAGTGAGTGCCATGGCATCAGCCTAGCTCACAGCAACCTCAATCTCCTGTGCTCAAGTGATCCTACTGCCTCAGCCTCCCAAGTAGCTGCAACTGCAGGCATGTGCCACCATGCCCGGCTAATTTTTTGTATATATATTTTTTTAGTTGGTCAATTAATTTCTATTTTTAGTAGAGATGGGGTCTTGCTCAGGCTGGTTTTGAACTCCTGACCTGGAGCAATCCGCCCGCCTCGGCCTCCCAGAGTGCTAGGATTACAGGCATGAGCCACCATGCCCGCCGGCCGAGACTTCATTACATAGGCATAAGTGATTAAACCATTGGCCATTAGTGATCAACTTAACCTTCAGCCCCAGAAAGTCCCAGCCCTCTAATCCTACCTTGGTCTTTCTAGTGACTAGCCCCTATCCTGAAGCTAACAGTCAATCATTAGCATGCAAAAAGACATCACTTTGGAGATCACAAGGATTTTAGGAGTTGTATATTAGGTAATGGGGACGAAGCCCAAATAGATATTTCACAATATCACAACTGGTTTTCAAGGAGGATTGATGAAATTGAATTTGGTGATCTTAGCAAGAGCTCTTTTGGTGAAGGAGAGGTAGAAGCAGATATACATATAAATGTGTATAAATTAATATATATACACACATACACACACACTAATCACAGTATTAATTTTTTTATGATGGTATATATTTGAGCAAGTATAAATATAGAGGGGAAAAAAGATACTGGGTAGAAAAAGGTTGAATAATGGGAAGGTAGGAAGGGTTATAAATAATTGAGATAGACAGCCCTGATATGGGATCCTGAGTACAGATGGAGGAATTAATCTAACTATAAGAGGACATTAATAATAAGCTTCAGAAAGTCTGTGGACCCTCCTAAAATTGTTTACCAGATTTGCATGTCAGTGACTTTTTAAGCACTTTTTGTGGGGAGAGGGTCCATGGCTTTCATCAGATTCTCAAAGGACTCCACAACTCCAAAGTAGGTTGAGAAGCACTCCTTCGAATAAGAAAAGCATGATCACGTGGCATAAACTCTCCTAAGTCTTTTCTCTGATCTCTTGGCTTTCTACTCAGCCCTTCCTTTTCAAGGTGACACCTCAGCCAGTCCATACACAGGGACACAGGGATCTCTAGTCAGGGAAAAGGTGACAATCCCTGGACAAAAAAGGAGAAAAGTCATTGGCAAGGGCATCTGCTGGACCAGAAGGCTGTGGGCAGGAGAAGTACGTGGAACGTGGAACCATGGTTCCTGGCTGAAATGAAACTAGGGGAAATTTCAGGTGCTCCCTGGAGCTGGAAAAACTGTCATTTCAAAGCTGTCTTGCAAGAGGCGGTGACTTGATACCTCTTTGGAAGAGACCACGCTTTAGTTCTGGGAAGACTGCTCAATGGGAAATGTAGTTTTGCAAAATGAAGCAAAGACCAGAGTCAGAAATGGAGATACCAGAGCCACTCAAGGCTCCAGGAGCTACAGGGTGCTGCCTAGTGTGGCTTCATGACAGGTTACAGCCTCCATCTGGTAAAGAGGTGCAGCTCTGCAGCTATTTCCTTTGAGAAAAACAGCTTTATTTATTTATTCCAAAGAGAGATTTGGATTGTGCTCAGTTGCAAACTGAGGCTAGTTCTTGTGGGAATGTGTTCTACTTGGAGCAGTTGCTATTTCATCTGGGACTTTGTGAGATGCTGGGCACAAGCTCTTCAGGACACAAAATGCAGCCTCCAGTTGGGGGTGGACTCTGCTCCCTCAAGAACTGGAAACTCAGGTAGTGTCAGGAGCCAGCATCTTTGGCTTAGGCCCTCTCTCTGTGAGCAGTGTCTGAGTTGGCTTCAGTTGGGATCCTTTAAGTGACTCAGAGGGCAGTGCTGTTTATTCAGTGGCAGGGCCTAGAAGGTTTGGGGACCAGGCTAGGCTTCTGAGTCTAACCAGCAACGGGCCCCAGTGACCTCAGAATTGATAAAATGTCCCTCTCCACCTGCAACCAGCCCTCTATAAACTGTATGGCATAGGCACTATTTACTTTGGGTGCAGGAGGGTGGAAACTGAGGATCCTGAAGCAGCTTGGAGGCAGAGAGAGGGGTGTTCGAAGGCAGCAAAAGCACCAAAGTTTCAAGAGCACCTAGAACTGGGGCAGTGAACACAGAAGAGTGGAGCATAGACATGTTTCTCTTTCATGACCAAGGATGGGCACAGCCCTGAGCTTTTGCCAGTTCTGCACTCTAGCCTGGCTAAAGGAGGCACCTGTGCCGAAGTAGGCAGGCACATAAGCAGATTGGGAGGAATTTCTGTCAACAGTATTAAATGCCTGAGGGGTCCCACCCTCAACCTGGTCTCACGCCCACAGTGCTCTTACCCACCCCTGACTGCAGCTACAGCCCCCGTGCTAGTGGCTCTCAAATCCACCCAGCCCTGACCTCCCTCTGCAGCCTTACATCAGCACATCCCACGGGACCCTGACAACCCCTTTGGGTGTCCCACAGTTCCACAGACTTGGCATCCTTTCCAAATACATGTCCTTATCTTATTTCCAAAGAAGGAAAATCACACAGTTCTCCCCAATACAAATGCAGAGGACTTAGGAAATAAGGTTTTAAAGGGTATGCAGAAAAGCTTAGGGGCTTGTAATGACCTTCTGGAGATGACTTGGGGACAGTGTGAGAGGCCAGGTTCAGCATTAACCTCTCCTTCCTTCCAGATGAAGGTGTGTACCTCTTAGCTTCCTGTCCTTTTTCATACCATTTGCCAAATTGAATTTATTTATTTATTGAGACAGAGTCTAGCTTTGTTGCCCAGGCTAGAGTGAGTGCCGTGGCATCAGCCTAGCTCACAGCAACCTCACACTCTGAGCTCAAGGAATCCTGCTGCCTCAGCCTCCCGAGTAGCTGGGACTACAGGCATGCGCCACCATGCCCGGCTAATTTTTTCTATATATATTAGTTGGGCAATTAATTTCTTTTTATTTATAGTAGAGACGGGGTCTCGCTCTTGCTCAGGCTGGTTTCCAACTCCTGACCTCGAGCAATCTGCCTGCCTCGGCCTCCCAGAGTGCTAGGATTACAGGCGTGAGCCACAGTGCCCGGCCTGAATTTAAATAATTATTAATGTAATTGCTAATTTATTGCCTGTCTCTCCTGGTTTAAGCTTCTCAAGGGTAGGGATCATGTCCCTTTCACTTCTATATCTTTGGTGTCTACCCAATACCTGACATATAATAGGAGCTTAATAAAATATTTGTTGAATGAATAAATGAATATCCTTGTTCCTCAACCAAGATGCAGGTCCCTCTGGGGCCCTCAATCCTTTCCTGCCTTCTTATCCGAGTGGAGCTCTGTGCTTCCTTACCCTGAACCAGCATCCCACCACACCCTCTCCCCACCAGCAGTCTTTCTTTGGATGCTCCCATGCCCTGGGCTGCTTCATGGACCCATAGGTAATCTCAGGCCCCAAGTGCTGGGACTGTGCAGGGGGTTGTGAGTAGGCTTGCTGGGACTAGTGAATGCACCTTTGCCACCTGCCTACCTGTGTTCCATGCCTCCCATCCCAGAGCTGCTGGGCGGGGCAAGAGATCCAGGCCAGGTGGGTGATTGCTGAGTCAGCCTGAAGTGTGTGACCGGGATGATCAGGGCATGACCTCCATCCAGCCTCTTCTACCCATCCCCCCCACTGGCCAGGAAAAGATCAGACAAAGCACGGAAATAAATAAATAACTTAGAAATAATAAATAAGGGTCCAGCTCCCACGAGTGAGTACAAGGCCAGCTCCAGCACAGGCATTCTCAGCCATGGAACTGTAATGTGTCTCCTCCAAATTCTGCCCTCCACCCAGGGCCTGGGCCGGGGCTGGGGCCTGGGCCAGGCTGAGGCCTCAGCCACTGCTAGGTTCTCCGGAGGGGTCCTAGGTCCAAGGCCTGGCCGGTGCCAGAGTCTGTGATAAGTGGGTCCTAAGGTCTCCACAGCTGAGGTCTCTGGTGCCTGTAGGGCTGGGATCTGCAGGGTGAGGGTGCTGGGGCTTCTGGTCGGTCACCCTCCATCTGTCTCTCAGGGCTGATGTCCCTCACTCAGGCGGCTGAGGACTGAGGCCTCTGGCTAGTGTGGCCCTGCGGGAAGTCCCAGGCAGGAAGATTCACAGGTAAGGGGCCCATATGCACAACTCTGGAGAGAGCTCAGCCCAGGCAGCCGCAGGCGGTGGCTGAGAGGCGGTCCACGGTCCTCCAGGTGCTGTTGACGTCCATGAAGGAGACCGCTTCATAGCGCGTGGGTCGGCAGCAAGGCTGGCTGACTGGCCGGGAGCCCGGGGGCGGCCGCAGGGCCCCGGTGCCCAGCAGGCTGGCCAGGCTGAGGTCGTGCGGGGAGCGCGCACGGCGGCAGGAGCCGCTGCAGAAGCGGAAACGCACCAGCTCATCGGAGCTGTGGCCCAGGCCGAGCGCGCGCACCGGCACCAGTTGCGAGCGCAGGCGGCAGCCCCGCGCCCCTGCGGCCCGTGCGCGGCCGCCCCGGCCCCCGGCACGCGCCGCGCGGCCCCCGCGGGGAGGAGCAGACGGGAGCGCGGGGGGCGCAGGTGCTGGCCCGGGGTGTTGCGGAGGCGGAGGTCGCCGGGCTCTTCCACCGCACAATCTGGCCGTGCGTTCCCCTGGAACGAGACCGAGTCAAGCGTGGTGTCCCAGGCCAGCCCCATCCCCGCCCCGCCCCTTCGCCCGCTCACCTACCCGGCAGGTGGCCGGCGGGGGGCGCCAGGACTGGCGCTGGGCCTTCGCGGGTGGCGGGGCTGCCGGGTGCAGGGCCCAGGGAGGCCTCTGCGACGCTGCTCAGCAGAGCCAGAGCAGCCAGCGTCGGCCACAGGGCAGGCTGTGCAGAGACACAAAGTGGAACCTCAGGGAGAAAGAGGACACCCTGGTGGGTCGGAGAGGAGCGACTCAGGGAAGGGCTATCTTCAGGCTGAAATCAGAGAGGGGACTGGCTCTACCTGGATGGAGGGGAGCTCAGGGAGGGCTTAGGTTCATGCATAATGAGTTTGCTCCCAGGTAAGGAATCACCTGAGGGCACTGACCATCCATCCAGAGAAGTCCAGCTCCTTCTTCATATGCCTGACGCCTATTTCCCCTCCTATATCTGACCCCTGCCCAAGCCACCTCCTGCGCTCCCTCTGCAAACAAGCTATCTTTCCTCAACACCAGGTGGGAGTCACTGGGGGAACCACTTACCTGCCGCCTAGGCCATGGACAGTAGGACAGCGCAGAAAGGCCTCCAAGTCCAAGTTCCATCTCTGCCGACACCAGGAGCTCCCATCAGCCTTTGTTGACCTGTTCCCCCACCCTCCTCTTGAGACACCTTGTGAATTGAGAGATGAGTTATCTTTTGAGGGGTCATCCTTCCACCTCAGTAAGGAACAGGGGCTTGAACAGCTGGACTCAGCCCAGGAGAAGTAGCTGTGTTGAGAACCTTACTGTGTGGTAGGCGCTTTGCAGCTATTCCCTCTTTCAAAACTCCATGAGGCAGATGGCTTGATCTCCCTTTTCCAGATGGACAAAGCTCAGAGAAGCTCAGAGTTTGTCTAAGGTCATAAGGCTGGGCCCACATAGCCAGAGGGAAGGGAAGGTCCTCTTTTCCCAGAACCTTCCTGTCTGTGCTGTAGGGCTGGAGCTGCGATTGGCTGGAGAAGGTAGGAGCTGGACACACTTGGCCCTGCAGAGAGCCTTCGCCCCATGCTGTGGGGAGGAAGCTGAGGCCTGAGAGTTATCTGACGACAATGGGGCCCAGGCCTCACCTCTGCTGCCCACCCAGAGCTGCTGTACCTTGTTGCTGTGTGATCTCTGGTCTGGCCCCAGAGCTGCCTGAGTTCTCTCTTAGCACCAGAGATGTCCCTCCAGAGCCAGCAGATGGTGAGGGCTGTTGGGGCCTGGCCATGGCTTACTATGGCCACCAGAGGGCAGAGTCTGCCAAGCCTGCAGACTCAAAGGAGGGGTGGGCTTTTCTATTCTCTCAGCGGGAGTTGCAGGAGGCGCTCCCAGGAGGGCCAGCCAGGTTTCCACACCAGCCTCGTCTCTGAGAGTTGAGCCACCTTGGGAGCTTGTCTCGGTATGCCCCGATTCCAGCCTTCTATGGCTCTAGCAGCCTAGCCTTGTTCCTAGAAGTTTGTCCTGTGAGCCATCCTTCCTGATCCCAGCCAACCTTCCTGAGCTCCAACTGGCTGGCACACCCAAACACCCCTTTGGGGCCCCAGAGCCTTCACGAGCCCTCATTATCTGTCCTTCCCTTGGGTCCCAGCTGTCACCCTCACCCCTATCCCCAAGCACACAGAATGCCTGCACAGCATGGGACAGTCCTCCCCAGACCTTCCTGAGATGGTCCTCTGTCGGACCCTCCAGGTCAGACCAGTGACTTCTCACTGATGGAGGGAAAGCCAGGCAAGGCAACCTTCAGGGCCCTCTGCACTAGGGGGAGCCCAGGAGCAGGTCCCTTGATGGTAGCTCAGCCCTACCTCTCCCTCCCTGCAGTCTGGTGCCACTTGGTCCTCCAACCCTCCTCTCCCCATCCAGCAGCCGGCTACTCACCACGGGGGTCTTGCACCGTATTCTTCTAGGCACCTTTCCTGGGACCAGTAGTGGGCTTTCCCCTGCAGCTCAAATGGCTCATGCCCAGGGCTGTGCACCTGGCAACACCTCTTTTAGCCAAAAGTGTGGCCTTGGCAGCCAGTCAGCTCCCTGTAGTGGCAGCGGGAGCCTCACATTACAGCAGGCGGGCTGGGCCAGCACAGTCCAACAAGCGACAAGAGGGACTGAAGGGGCTGGGAGGGGCAGAGAGCTGCGCTGCGGGCCCAGGAGAGGGAGGATGCGAGAAAGGAGTGGAGGGGGATGGTCCTGCCCGCTCCCTCTAGCCCCAGGAGCGTCCATCCAGGGCTGGGACCAGGGATGGGCAGGCGGGCTGGTTTACCTCGGGTGTGGGGCTCCGGCTCGGGTCACAGCGAGGGCTGGGGCCCGAGGGACCTGCTGCTGGCGGAGCCCGTGGGCCGTGTCTGGGGGCCGGGCCCAACTCCATCCCTCAGCAGCCTCCTGCCCGCCACCGTCCGGTGTCAAATTCCAGCCCCGGCGTCACCGGATCCTGGGGTGGGGCCTGGAGCGCCCCTGCCCCGCCCCACCTTTCAGGGCTCACCTGGCCGCTTCACTCGCGGGATCCGCTGCCCCCTGGCTCGGCTAGGTACCCCTGAGGCCGGGGTAGAAGCTGGGAGGGGACCCCTGGATGCAGAGAGTGGAGAATTCGGGCAGCGGAGAGGCACGGAAACTAGTTCGTAGTTTGTAGACACGCGAAGTAGGGAGCGGGGAGACCCGGCGAGGGCGGGAGAGAGAGAACGAGGGCGGGGAGGGTGGGGGGACAGGCTAGTCCCTGCCTTGGGCCGCCGCCCACTGGTGCGTGCAGACCCGGCGGGGGGCGGGGTGCCCGGCTGGCTGCCCTGCAGTGACTGGTCTCTTCTCCACTGCTAGTTTGTTCTTTACCTCGATGGGTCGGTAGGCAACCCCACCCCGGGGGCGGGCGTTCAAGCTCTGATTCTGCTTTAGTCACCACTCCTGGGGCTTGGAGAGGGGACATACTTGCAAACGCGGGTGTCACTATGGCGCAGTGAGGGCAGTGTTCATAGAAGGGGGTGCGAGGGGTGAAGAAGGGGAGGGTCACAGAGGAGGAACATTTGAGCTGAGGCTTCTTCAAGTAGGAGCTGCAGGGTAGCATTTCAGATGCCTAACTGGCAATTTGGGGTGGGAGTTGGGTGAATAACATGGATGGAAAGGTCCTACTAAGGGGTCTTGCCCTTATCCTTATGATACCGGGGAACCTGAAGGGTTTTGAGTGGAAAGGTGTGGCCAGATGTATCAATAGTGGGTGACTGGCTGGAGCCAGGCAGGACAGAGGAGAAGTGGAGGTAGTCAGGAAGCTGCTGGGGAGAGGGTGAGGTCCGATGCCAGGTGTGCAGGGAGCAGTGAGGTTGCTGGCCCAATCCAAAACACTCTTGAAATTCAGTTGGTGCATGATTGGACAGGGTGAGGAGGTAGGTCTGGCAAAAGTATGCCTTTGGCCTGGGTGCCTAGGTGGAGGGGGTACCTTCTGGGCCCTGGGGCTCCCCAGAGGAGGCATAGGGGCTGCTGGGATCTGTGTTGGACATTTAGAGTTGGAAGGGCCTGTGAGTGGAAAGGTTCCTGGTGGAAATGTTCTGAAGCAGTTGGATCTGTAGCCCCGAGCGGGGTGGAGAGAGCGTGGCTGGCAATTAGGGACTGTGGACCAGATGACAACTGGAAGCTGCAGGTGGGGGAGAGAGTACTCAGGGAATATGTGTGGTCCCTGGCTGTACCCTGGCTATGCATCAGAGTCACTGGGGACCTTTAAAAAAACTACCCACATTCAGGCCTCCACCCCAGACCTGAATCAGAATTTGAGGGTTGGCATGTGCAGTTGTCAAATTCGCGCAGGTGATTGTGGTGCATGGCCAGGGCTCAGAACCTCAGCTTTTGCAGGAGTAGTTTCCTGCAGTGCTGGGGACTAGAAGTCAGGCTGCAGACACCTGCTGCTGATAGTGGGCTCTCTGCAGGCTCCACAGGACCCCTGTGGGACAGGAGGCCAAGCGGTGAGCAGCTTGCTCTGTTGCCTCCCGCAACTGGCTGCTCAATTGGGGTACCTTCCCTGGGGCTTTTTTAGCTGGAGCCACAACTTACAGGCATGCGGCCTATGCCTGTATAACTCCAGGGGTGCTCTGCAGGCAGGAGTACGTATGCTAGAGTTGTGCATCACAGAGGCCCTGCTTCCAGCGGAGTAGAGAAGGCATTTCTGGGTTTGCCTGTCCCTTAGCCAGTACCTTGCTCTCCTCAGCCAAGGAAGCTTCTGCCTGAGGACAGACTGCAGGAAGCAGGGGCTGGCGGGGATGTGGGGCATTGGTGGTCCTCGGGACAGCCAGGACTCTCTGTCCTTAGGGCACCAGTGAGAGGGCCTTGGACTGGGCTGGGCAGGAGAGAGGTGCAGGGCCAGATGCCCCACGTACTGCCACAGTGGCAATGTGTGGCAGAAAGGGATCAGATTCTAGGGCTCTAAGGGGGTGAGGTGGTGGGGGGATGTCCCTTCTAAAGTGCGACAGAGGATGCCTAGAACTGGGCTGTGTGCCTTTCTGTGTGGGAAGAGGCAGGCTGAGGGGAGAGGGTGTCCCTCCATGCTAAGAGCGTGAGTGGGCTGCGTCCTTCCCAGAGCACAGCCCAGGTGTCAGGAGTAGGGAAGGTCTGTGGGCCTCTGCATGCCAGGGGTTCAGCAGAGTATCTTTCCTGTGCTCGCAGCAATCTCTGTCACTGCAGAGCTAGAGCTGTGGTGACCCGGAGGCACTGTCTTGGGGCTGTGGGCTCCAATCTCCTGCCTCCTGGCTCCTCTAGGAGACACTAGGGCTGACTCTGGGGCAGGCCCTGAAACCACTGGTCTGTCTCCTCAAGGCAAAGAGGATACAGGACCACGTGGACAGGAGACGCTCCAGAGCCTTAGGTGGCCACCCAGGGCCCGCAGTTGACATGAGAAGTGAAAGGGACTTAGGAATCTGTGGGCTGGGGAGAAGGCCCTTGGGTTTTGCACCGTTGCTGAGGCCAAGGTTCCTGTTTCTTCCAGGAAAGTCACAGAATGCAAAAGGAGGCTGGACTCAGGGAAGAGCTTTATTGCTTCCATGAGGGCTGCCTGGGATGGCGGCCACAGCCTGGGTAAGGTCCTTGGGCCTCACTTCCCTCTGGTCCAGGCTAAAGGCAGAACCCAAAGACCTGGCAGTCTCATTGTTGCAACCCAGAACATCTGACAAGTTGGTCAGTCCATGCCTGGGCACTAGTGTATGGATCAGTTGCAGCTGGGGTGGAGGGGAGCCATTCCCATTAGGCTGAGCCAGGCCACATCTCTTGACTTTAAAGTTCTCTCTGATCTAGCCCGGGGGGCTGTCCTCTTGGCTGGGAAGGGATGGCTCTAGAGTTTCCCTGTGGGACAGCTAGGGACTGGTGAGTGGGAATACCCCATCTTCTCCCCAAGAAAGGCCAAACAGTGTCATGAGCTGGGGTGGGGGTGGGGGGGCTGGCATGAGATCCTGCCCAGACCCCTATAGCCCTGGAGCAGGGTACAGGCTGGTCATGGCATTCTCACCCTGCAGGGAGCTTACTGGTACCACTGCCTGATGGGCCCTCTAGTGGGCCCCTTTCTGTATAGCAAGTGGACCAAATTTGACATCTCCAACCTTATGTAAAAATAAATTATCCCTACCCTCCCCCAACCCAAATTCACAAAATGATAATACACCAAACACTGATTGGAGAAATGATTCCGGCAGCAGCCTTGCTGCCTAATGTCCCACCTCCTGCATGCTGGGCCTGCTGGGCACAGCCTTGGCCTGCTGGCCCTCTGGCTTGGCGGACCCAGGCTGAGTGGGGCTGAGTGCTGGTCTCTGGGCTGGCCTCTGGACAGGCACAGCTCTGGCTGCTCCACCAAGGCCTTGCTGCCCCTGGGGCCCCTTGGCACTGTCCTTCTCTGGGTCTGAAGACTCCTGCGTAGGTGGTGGTGGCTGTTGCTTGCTCCTGGTGGTGCCTGGGCCATCATGGCCGTGTGCTGGGCCCACTCAGATGCCACTGGTTAGGTCAGTGATGACACGTGCTTTCACTAGCTTCCGCAGAAACTCTTTCTCTCGCCGGATATTGTGTGTCCAGGACTGGAAGGAAAGAGATAGAGAAGTGATCAGGTGGGCAGCCCAGATGGCTGCTGGGACACAGCCCTGCCTTGAATGCCCCTGCCCAGGCTCAATGCCCTCTTCCAGTCACCACCCTCCAATGCTCTGTGACTGTGCAAATCTGAAGGCAAACACTTATAACCAGTTGTGCCTACAAGATAATGATGACTCTGCTCTAGGTGTGCAACACTCATCCTTCTCCCTTCCCAAGACTCGGAAAAAACAGCCTTTGTGCCCCTTTCCGTGCCCCAGAAGAACTACGCCTCTTGACATCCTCCCAGTCCTGGGAGGTATAATCTTCCCAACCACCTTCCTTAGTGCTAGTGGAAGGACCTTGTTCCCACAGACTTCAACCCACTTCTTGTCAGGTACCCACTAGGTCCTGGACACCCTGAGGGCAGGCATGTGAGTCACCTAAGTCCCACAGCAAGGGGTGGCTGAGTCATTCTCTGGCCTGACAAAATCTACTCAGGCCTGGGGGCAGCTGATGAAATCCTGCCTCCCAGAGGAGCCAGGTGACTTGAGAAGAAACTAGTCTTTTTAAAACAAAATTTTAAAATAATTTTTAACTGACAAATAATAATTATATATATTTATGGTATACAATGTGATCTTTTGATATGTGTACACATTATGGAATAATTAAATCAAGCTAACATATCAATTACCTCACATACTTTCTCAATTTTTTGTGGTGAGAACATTTGACTGTCATTAAAAATAATATCTTATATATTTGAAAATTGCTAGAAGAGGATAATCTTATTGTTAATGTGGAAATTACAAGGAAGATGCTGCTTTCTAGGGCATTCCTGGGGGAAGACTGCACTCAGGATAGGTTCTTTCCTAGCCCCAGGGCTCTTACCAGGAAGCTTTGATGAAAAAGGATTGATTGAATAAATGAAGGAATGAATGCCAATATCCTCATCATATTAATAATTTGTACTCGATTGACCTCTGCTGCATTTGTCAGCATTGAACCTCACAATAACTACATTAACAGCTACATCTCACTGGGGCTAGGAACTTAGGGCTCTGTCCAGCCCTTATTCTGATCCAGTTAACCCTCTCCAACCTTCCACACCTTTTCCATTGGAAACTCAGGCAGTCATCAGCAGAATTCCCTATACTCCTCTTTTCTAAACACTGCCTTCAACTTCTTGTGCTAACCACAAGCCCAGATGCCCTGAGGACAGCACCCCCAGACCCCTCTCCAGTGGTGGCTGTTTCTTCCCCCACTCTCCACAGCACCTGAAGGTGGGCAGGGTCTTCCTCATACCCAGCTGTCTCTCCAGACTCCCTAGGAACCCCCACCCCCCAGGCTCCTGTCATTATACTGTGCCGTCTGCAAATTGCCCTCCTTCTTTCAGACCCCTGGGTGACTCACCCCCATTCTTTGAAGATTCATGCATCTGGCTCACGGGCTCTCTTTGAGGGCAGGGACTGTTAGGCACAGAGTAGGTGCTCAATAAATATTTGTTTAATGAAATTAGATTTTATAGATAAGAAAACAGAGGCTTGGAGGAAAGCAGGGCCAGGAGTCAAGCCAGTGTAGACACTGAAAGCCTCATTCCATACCCTGCACCCTCACCACTCCCCGGGGCAGAAGAAATAACCAGTCTAATAGGTCAGGGTCAAGAGCACCCTGTAGGAGCCACTGAGGGTTAAAGGTCAGCAAAAAACTGTATAGTTGATACTAAGAAATTATTGTTAACTTATTTAGGTGTGATAAAAAATAGTCTTGTCTTTTAGAGAAATGCAATGAAGTATTTATGGCAGAAATGACGTATCTAGGAGCTGTTTCCAAATAGTCAGTGGGGTGGGAGCACGAGAGGAAGAACAGATGAAACAACACTGGCCATGTGTTGATAACCGGGGAAGGTGGGGACAGGTATGTGGGAGTTCATTTTATCATCCTCTACACGTATGAATACATTGGACAGTTTCCATCATAAAAAAGTAAACAAACAAGTCTGCCCTGGGGTATAGCTCTCTCGGACAGGCAGTACCACCCCTCTGGTGCTCTTTTCCTAATTCCTCCTTCCACGCAGAAAACTTGTGCGTTTTCCGGAGCTCTGCACTGGCTATGGCTGGCGTGGGATTCTGGATATCATGGGCACCAAGCCTTGAGGACCCTTGATTCTGGATGTGGACGCCCACCCGCACCACCCTACACTCTCAGAAGGATCTCCCTGTGACAGCTCTTTTTCAGTCTTTATCTTTGGTTCTTTTTCCCTCACCCAGTCATTAAATATTGGTGTTCCTAAGGGTCTGTCCTGACAGTCTGTACTTTTTACTCTTTGTCTTCTTCCTGGGAAATCTCATCATGCCCTCCTTATATCTGGACAAGCAGGTGTGCTCACCACTCACAGATCTCCATTTCTGGCCTGACTTCTCTGCTGTGTGGCAGACTCCTGTACCACCCCACTTCATCTTTAGCTACTGCTCAGTCTCCCTCCTTCCCTGTCATCCAAATGTCCTGAGAGGGTCCTTACCACGAGCAACACCTGTGGTCCGTTGCCCTCTCTACTTACTGTTCACTACTGCCATCTAGCCCTTACTAGATTCTGCCACTCTTGGAACTGTTCTCAGCACAGGCAGCACTGGCCTCCCAGCTGGCACATCCAATGACCATTTCTCAGCACTTGTCTTACTGGGCTTCTCTGTAGCACCTGACATTGGAGACACTCTCTTCTGGAAACACTGCTCCTTTGGTCTCCATGATGCTATGCCTTCCTGATTCTTCTCTACTCTGTCTCCTTTACAAATTCCTTTGGCATCCTTATACATCCCCAGCATTCAATCCTTGCTCCACGTGTCTTCACATCCCACACACTCCTGCTGGGCCTGGTGAATGAGCTGATCGGGTGCAGGTGAAGCCAGAGCGATGAATGGTCCATGTGGCTACTGAAGACACCCCAGGTGACAGAGGGGCCCTAAACCCAGGCATCAGCATTTTCAGTGAATCCCCATGCAGGGAGTTGGTAACAGTGATGAGTAGGGGTAAACTATTAATAACAGTGGCTAGCATGTATGTTTCCTATGCGGCGGGCCTTTTTTACACATTGCCACATCTGATCTCTTCCAAGCCCCAGGAGGTAGATGCTATTATGATCCCTTCTCTAGATAAGGAAACTAAGGTCTAGAGCAGGCTCTGAACCTAGGGCCTGAAGCCAGCTCCTCTGATTGGAGAACATAACACTCTTAAGCACTCTGTGTGGAGGGTGGTACAGCAGATGCCATGGGCCTCAGAGCCAGAGAGATTTTACATGGTGAGGGAGGGGCAATGGCCTGAAAATGGACATATGGCAGGTGGAAGGAAACCAACAGCTTCCACCAGAGAGTGCGTCAGGGAAGGCAGGTCCTTCTACCTCACTCCTGCACTGAGGCAATCCCCGGGCCCTACTGATTTAAAATCCCGTCTCTTGCCTCTGTCTTCTCATCGCCATGGCCAAAGATCAGGTTCAGGAGTCATCATCTCTTGCCTGGACTGTGGCAACGCCTCCCGAATAGCTTGTATTTGTGCCTTGCCCCTCTATTTCACACTGCAGCCACAGTGAGCGCACTACTTGCTAATCCACAGCTGAGAACTCTCCCATGGCTACCCACCGCCTTCACAGTAAAGTCCCAACTCCTTCCCGTGGCACAGAAAGCTCCTTATGACCTGGCTACTGCCTATGTCTGAGGCTCTCACTCTCTGTACTTAAACTTTTACATAGAGTTTACATGAAAGGAATATGTAAGAGACCAAAGATATAAGTAAACAGAAGCCAGGAGGCAGATAAAAGCTGTGTGAGCAGTCTGGAGTGGATGCCAGTCAGGGACAAAGCAGCAAGGAGATGTGCAAGGAGAGGCAGAGATGGGAGATGGACAGGGCCATGGTAATGATGAAGCAGGGTTGGCACCACTGCCGAGGGGGACAGGACAGTCCTAGAACTGTCTTGGACCCAGAATGAGCTTCTCAGTCCTGACTCCCATCTAGGTGACAGAGGGCCCAGCTAGAAGGCTGTTTCCAGTTTTCTGTGAGATCCCCAAGTCCTTTATATATCCATGAAATAACTTTCAACTGCTTGAGGTAGCCTGAATAAATCTGCTATAGACAGAATGCTTGCACCCCCTAAATTCACATATTGCAACCTAATCCCCAATGTGATGGTATTTGGAGGTAGGGCCTTCGGGAGGTGATTAAGGCAGAGCTTCATGAATGGGATTAGTGCCCATTTAAAAGAGACTCAGGGGCACTTCCTCACCCCTTCCACCATGTAAAGAGAATCTAGGCCATCTAGGACCCAGAAAGTGGTCCTTACCAGAAACCAAATCTTCCTATGCCTTGATCTTGGACTTTCCAGCCTCTAGGCCTGTGAGAAATAAATTTCTATTGTTTAAAAGCCACCCAGTCTATGGCATCCTGTTATAGATGCCCGAATGGATGAAGATACAACCAAAAAAGCCAATAAAATATATAGGTGGTAATGGATGCCCTGGAGGGAGATGTATCTCCAGAGAAACATGTAGAGTGAGAAGAGAAGACTCTCTGGGCTGGAGCCTTAGCTAATGCTGGTTCTTAAGGGGTATGTCAGAATCCATGACACTGAGAAAGACAATGAGAGAAAATGGCAAGTGAAATAAGAGCAACACTAGAAATTACTGACTCAGAAGTTTAAGCAGAACAGAGTTTCAAAGAGGAAGGAGTGGTCAACACAAAGCATTTCTGAGAGATCAGGAAAGATGGTATGTGTCCACTGGATTTGGCAGCCTTGAGGTAGGTCACCGGTGACCTTAGTGAGAATTGGATGAGGTCCGGGGAAGCCAGCTGTGAGGGGTGAAGGGCCAAGTGGGGGTGAGGAGTACATGGGGGGCGGGGGGGGGGAGCAGTCCAGCAGAGCTGCATGGCATCCATTTTTTCATTGGGGGAGGGGAGGGAGTGTGGGCAGCTGTGGAGAGTGGACAGGTGAAAGAGTGGAGAGTGGAGAAGGACAGGTAAAAAGATTGACAAGCAAGAATGAGTGCTAGCTGGGACCAGAGTCCCTGGATTTACAGAAATATGAACCTTCACAGATGGGAGATTTCCTCCAACAACCCCAGTCACTGGGATGTAGCAGTGGAGGAGCTGTTCCAAGCACTGGCCTGAGATATCCAGGTTTCAGGCTGGGATCAGTGGAAGGCTAGTGGTTGGAGCTGACGTGTGGGAAGAGGGGTTCAGATTTTCCAAATGGGATCTGGGCTGTGAAGGAGAGATGCCAGGGGAGGCTAACAGATAGGGTAGGAGAACTTTAACACACCTGTCCACATGGATCACCTGGGAAGCAGTTCTGGGTGATAAAAAGCTTCAGTGTGTGGCCATGGGGAGGAGTAGGGGTACAGGGTGTCCTGAGGCAGCAGCAATGTTTATTTGTGGGTTGTCTTGGGGGCAGAGAGGTCCTCTAGGGGAAGGCAGGAGTTGCAATAGAAATGATGACTCTGAGCTGGTGCCAAGACTGGTGTCTGATGGCTGGGAACACAGCAAGGAGAAGGGAGGTGCAGGACAAGGGTGGGGGTGGGGTCCCTGGGGCCGTTGTTGAAGGGGAGAGGACTGAGGGAGAAGGTGCTGGGTTCCGTGGGAGGCTAGGGAGACGGGCACGTAGGATGCTTGGTGGTCAGAGACCAGCATGCAGGGACGGACCTTCAATGACACCACTTGGCTGAGGGTAGGGCAGGACCTGCTGGGGAGCTCTGAGTGGCCAGACCAGCTGCTGGCTTACCCCTTTACCATTCATTTGAGCACATGAAGTCAGAGCCTGTCTTTTGTGCTGGAAGTACCTCCTCCCTCAGCCCTCACGCCATGCCCAGCTCGAACCTCTTTGATGGCTGCCATGCGCACGGTCTCATAGTAGTGCAGGGGTGCGTTGGGTGTGCTCATGTCGTAGCCAAAGCCTGCGACTGCCACCTCATCACAGCCGTGTAGCGCCATGGTCACTGCAACGCTGCCAAGGGTCGGGATGTTCTGGAAGAAGGGAGGAGAGGAGGCATGTAGGGTTTAGCTGCAGGGTTGAGTCGGCTGAGACCTCAGCCAAGCTTTCCAGAGTTAATCCCCAATCCCAGGGACTGAGCCCTCTTCCCCAAAACTGTCTTGCAAGAGCACTGCCACCACCCTGCCACCCACTCCTTCCGTGCCGAGGCACCTCTGACCCAGGTCTCCTCCCTCTCCCAGGGGCCCAGGTATCTCACCCCCCGGCCCATGAGGCCGTTGTTGAAGGGCAGGCCAATGAGGGTGAAGGCAGCCTCCTTGATGAAATACGGGTTGAGGATGCGAATCTCAGGGGGCTCCTTGGGCACTCGAGTGGCCACAGATTTCCAGAAGCCATCTGATGCGCTCTGTGGAAACAGCAAAAGACAGATGAGCTGGGTACAGCTGGGATGGGTCTGTGGGAGTGGCAGGGACCCCAAGTGTGGACAGATAAATGAGAAGTGAGGTGGCGGGTATGAGGTGTGTCATGGGGAGCCTGGGGCCTGTGGTGTAGGAAGCCCTTTAGTGTGGGGGGACGGGAGTGTGTGACAGAGACAAGGGCAACTGATGGCGAGGAGCGAGCATGTGGTGGGGCAGGGCACAGGGCGTGCCTGAGGGAGCTCTTGGGCCAGTGGGAAGACCCAAGGGTCCCGCTGTCCTCCCTCCCCGTTGCAGCAATGAGGGGCCTGGGTGTGCCTGCCCTCTCTCTTGTGCCCCCTCCCCGCTGCTGTCTCCACGGCTCTCAGTCAGCTGTTCTAAGTGGAGCTGGAGGATGGAGACGGGATGTGAGCTAGCACAACACAGCAGAGCAATACTCAAATCCTGGCTCTGCCACTGACTAGATTTGTGTAACTTTGGGTAACAAGCTCTCCAGGCCTCTTCTTTAATTGTCAAACAGGATCATTCTTTTCTCAGAGATCTCGGCGCTGTACTAGAAGGGTATCACCTCTGAAACCTGATATCCTGGTGTCCATTCCTGGGCCACAACTTCCTCTCCTTCCAACTCTTCCCCTTCCCCCTGCCCGACCACATGGAGGCCTCTAGCCCTCAGCCTTTTCTGTTCAGCACATGAGCCCTTCTTCATCTAGACCCGGAAGCGTATCATGTCAGCTGCACTTTTGTGAGCTGCCCCAATACTCTGCCCTTGTCCTTCTATTACCCCAGCCTAGGGATCGATCCATTTGCCCCCTTTTCTACCCTTACAAGCGGGCTCCTGAACACTGCTGGAGGAAGGTACAAACCAACCTTGCAGACTACAGGCATTACCTATCCATGGGCTCCACGTTGGTATTTCAGTGAGTTTGCTATTTTATTTTAGATAACCTAAAAGAATCAGCCACTACTAAAAAGTCAAAAAACAATAGATGCTGGTGTGGATGCGGAAAAAAGGAATGTTTTTTTTTTTTTTTTTGAGACATAGTCTCACTTTGTTGCCCAGGCTAGAGTGAGTGCTGTGGCGTCAGCCTAGCTCACAGCAACCTCAAACTCCTGGGCTCAAGCGATCCTTCTGCCTCAGCCTCCTGAGTAGCTGGGACTACAGGCATGCACCACCATGCCCAGCTAATTTTTTCTATATATATTAGTTGGCCAATTAATTTCTTTCTATTTATAGTAGAGACGGGGTCTCGCTCTTGCTCAGGCTGGTCTCGAACTCCTGACCTCGAGCAATCTGCCCGCCTCGGCCTCCCAGAGTGCTGGGATTACAGGCGTGAGCCACCGTGCCTGGCCTGAAAAAGGAATGTTTATACAATGTTGGTGGGACTGCAAATCAGTACAACCTCTATGGAAACCAGTATGGAAATTCCTCAAAGAAATATTAATAAAAGTAACCTACTATCCAATCAAGTAATCCCACTAGTAAGTATCTACCCAAAAGAAAAGAAGTCATTTTATAAAAAAGACAACTGTACTTAAATGTTTATTACAGCACAATTCACAATTGCAAAGATATGGAATCAACCTAAGTGCCCATCAATTCACAAGTAAAGAAAACGTGGCATGTATATGTGTGATAGTGCACATACCCACATACTATGGAGTACTACTCAGCCATAAACAGGAATGAAATATCTTTTGCAGCCACCTGGATGGAACTGGAGACCATTATCCTAAGTGAGTATCTCAGGAATGGTAAAACAAACACTAATAAGCGGGAGCTAAATGATGGGCACACACAGGTACAGAGATGTAAAGAACATTGGAAACCAAGATGGGGGAAGGTGGGAAGAGGGTGAGGGATAAACACTTACCTATCAGGTACAATGACTCCTCCCAGATTAATGTACAGGCTTAACATAATTCTAAGAAAAAACCCAGTAGGATTTTTGAAATTTATCAAAAGGATTCTAAATATCCATTCAAAAGATTTAAAAGGTAAAAATAACACCTCCAAATTAAAAATTAAGTATTAGAGTATATTATGGGTTTGTACCTATTACAATAGTGATTCACATATAAGAATCAACCAGGATAGCTCAGAAGTAGATCAACACAGGTGTAGGTTATGAAAAAGGAAACTTCACCATCAATAGAAACAAGTGATATATGAAAATTTGCCATTTGGGGAAAAGATCCATTTACTTTCTCTCCTCACACCATATACAAAATAAGTAAGTACAAAGAAATTAAAAATAAAAGGAAATTTAGATGTATATTTTATCATTGAATTTTCTAAATATTAGTGCAATGGAAGAAGTTAAAAGATAAACAGATGTTGACTTTATAAACATTTTAAAGTGCTTTGGTACATCAAAAATATAATAAACAAAATTAAGAGGGAAACAAAAGAGTGGGGAAATTTTTATCACAAATAATAAGTAATGTATATTTTAAAACTCATGAAAAATCAATGAGACCCCATAAAAATGGGGAAAGAAAATTTAAAAAAAAAAGTTAAGAATGAAAAAAAAATTCAATTCACTAATGACAAAGAAATGCACATTAAAATAACAAGATATTATTTTTTCCCCACTGAAATATGTCTGTATGTGGTATGTGGATATACATTTTAGTGCTTGTGGCAGCATGCTGAGGTAGAAGTCGCCTGCGCTGCTACAGGAGTGAAATTCAGTGCGTCCTTTCTAAGAAGCAATCTGACAATATATAGCAAAGGCTTTAAAGCTGTTTATATCTTATGACCCCCAAATTTCCCTTCCAAAAGTCATCAGAATGGTAAAGACCTTTGTAAAAATCTGTTTATTAGGCCGGGCGCGGTGGCTCACGCCTGTAATCCTAGCTCTCTGGGAGGCCGAGGCGGGCAGATTGCTCGAGGTCAGGAGTTCGAAACCAGCCTGAGCAAGAGTGAGACCCTGTCTCTACTATAAATAGAAAGAAATTAATTGGCCAAATAATATATATAGAAAAAATTAGCCGGGCATGGTGGCGCATGCCTGTAGTCCCAGCCACTTGGGAGGCTGAGGCAGAAGGATTGCTTGAGCCCAGGAGTTTGAGGTTGCTGTGAGCTAGGCTGACGCCACAGCACTCATTCTAGCCTAGGCAACAAAGCAAGACTCCGTCTCAAAAAAAAAAAAAAAAAAATCTGTTTATTACAGTGTTATTGATAAAAGTGAAAAACCAGGAAAACAAATCTAGAAGTTTGCAACAGAGGTTTGGTTAAATGATACATGATACATCTATGTAACAGAACGTCATAGCCATCAAAATTATGTTTTCTAAGAATTTTGTCTCATGATGCACCATGATTTCTGTAACCGATCCTCTGTTGTTTGGACGTCTGAATTGTTTCTAGTTTCCTCAGATCTGTTCTACCTCCTGTGTTCCCTCTCCTCTGCTGACCATCTAGTCTTCCAAACCAGAAACCTGGGAATCGATTTTGGATTCTCCTCCAACTTTCCAACCCATCCTGTCTTACCCAATCCATCCAGTTCTTTGGAGTCTGTCTTCCTGGAATCCCATAGGTCCATCCCTTGCTCCCAAACCCAGTGCCACCCCAAGTCCAGGTCTCAACATCTCGTCTGGACCTTCCCAGTGACTGCCATTGACAGTGCCTGTCTTGCCTGCTGAGCACCTACAGCCCAGTCCAGTGACTGGAACATAACCGACACACAATAAATAACTGCTGAATTCCATTCATTTATTCCACAAGCATGTGATGAGACTCTAGAATGGGCCGCTTCCACCAGGTCCTAGATCACTTTTCACTCTGCTAGAATGCACTTTCCATATACAAATCAGATTACATCACCACTGCCCACCAAAGACGTGAATTTCTTATCCAGTTTCAATTTCAGCCCACCTGAAGCCCCCCCTTGCTAATTCAGGCCTCCACGTGTTGGCTGGTGCTGCTCCTTGTCTCTAACATCCTGCCCACCTCCATCCACACGATCTGCCCGGCTTGTTTCTAAGACTCGGCACCTGCCTCTCTCATCTATCCTGAGCCCCTTCATCCCATGGCAGAATGACCCCTAACCTTTTTTTTTTTTTTTTTTTTTGAGGCTGTCATGGTGGGAGTATTTATAAACCCCTAACCTTTGAGAGGTGGTAAAATACACACTGAAGATCCTTGGTCCTGGAATTCGACTTCAGCTGTGGTCACTCACTGAGTGCAGACCCTGGGCAAGGAATGAACCATTTCCTTATGGATAAACTAGGAGATTATTAGTATTTATCTTATTGGCTGCTGCGAGAACTAATGAGATAGTTCAGGTAGGAGACACATTAGTCCCACAGGGTAGGGGCTCACATATGATTCACTTCTGTGGCCCAGGGCCCAGCCCAGCAGGCAGCAAGGGGGCATCAGAGTGGCTACTAAAGGAGACGTGACATCCACCCCAGGCTCCCCACCGGTCAGTAGCTCTTCGGCCTCTTCAGTGGACTGTCTCTGCTCCAGCCACTCCCTCTTCCTGTCTCCCCCCTATGTGGCAACATCTCTTTCTCTGGCAAATTCTGCCTGTCCTTCAAGGGTCAGCCCAAAAAACAGGTCTTGGGGTAAACTTCTCAGCCTTGGCCCTCTTAGGCCTGGGCAGGCAGACCCCAGTTACTCTTGCTCCTCTGTCTCCAGGAGAGCTATGCATGTATAAGGGAAGTAAAAGTATGGACAGTGGGACAGAGTAGGAAAGAGAAATGGCCAAGACCTTGGGCAGAACTGGGGAAAAGCCGTCCTGGGTGGGCCAGATGTGGACTGATGGGAATGGCACCTGCCAGCCTATGCCCTGCATAGCAGAGCCCCTGTCCCTTCTCCAAGGCCTGGCAGGTGCCAACAATTTCCCACCCAGGGTTCCTGCCTGTGCTTGCCCCATCCACACCTACAGGAGGGAGAAGCACAGGGCTGAGCAGGAGGGACAGAGAGAGCCAGGACTGGGCACAGTGGGGCCTGTGTCAAGGCTCCAGGCTGGCTTTCACAGATATT